CCGCCCGAGGCAGAGAACTGTCCCTGGGGGCCGCAGCTGCTAATTTAGAATTTAACAAATTTAAAATGTCCAATTAAACCAAATAGAAAACCAGATTGCAACCAAATTAATCCTACCTACAACCACTTCTCAACAGTGCTTGGACCAAGGAGACTGAAACTGGGCTAGGATTGGAAGGCACCAGTATTTAAGAGTTTGCTCTCAGTCTTTGGACTTATCAGGCTTTGAGAATACCCACACGTGACCACTCCCTCTCTTCCACTGGAAAATGAAAGTAAATTACAATTAAACTCTTTATTATTTTTAAAGCTTTATGTTTACTTAACAGAATCTTTCTATGTATCATCTGGGCTTTATTATTACTTATTATTCTGTTTGAAGATCATGTCCTAGCCTAGCAGAGGGCCAGTACTTTATCCTTCTGTACACACAGACCTCAGTCATCTTTTAAGAGAAGGAGTCCACTGGAGACAAAGTAGGAAAAAGAAAAAATAAATAAATAAGGAAACAGAAGAAATTCAAGGATAAAAAATTTAAATGCCTGATATTATCTGATGGTCTTTAAACCTCCAAGACAGCTGCCTCCCTCTAGGCGGGTTATTACCTGCCCAATGCAAGCCTCCATTCACAAGAAGAAAGATAATAATGCCGGGGCGGGGGTGGTGGTGGTGGTTCTAAACTCCAATCCCTTTATCAGCAGAAGGTTCTCTTTTAGTAAATGTCTCTGTGCTGCAAGACTGTTGCTTTTCTTGCAATGGACAATGTGGAAGCAAACCATTTCACTTCTCAGTTCAAAGGTATTACAGGAAGGCTACAACACACCAACACAAAGCAGGGTTTTTAACTCCTTGGAACCAAGGGAGAGCCTTCCCTTCTCCTTCCTCTCCTGCTTTTAGGGAAGAGCCAGACAAACTTACTCATCATTCAGGCCACATCGCCGAGTGGTAGGGTTTCCAAATTTTGTGAGTGTGTCAGTGAGCTCCTGGTAGAGGGTGTCCCCCAGGGACCGAGGGATCCCCTCCCAAGCCAAGATCAAGATGATAATAACAGCATTCTGGCAGTGGTGGCCAGCACGGTGCCTCACCAGGCACAGCAGTTTTTCTTCCACGTTGTGCCTCCTGATGACCTGGAATGCAAGCAAAGATGTTGGTTGGTCCAAAAAGAGACTCCCCCACCCCCTTCTGTTCCTTTGGCAGGTTGGATTGCCTCCCTGGACAAGGCAACTTGGCAAGTCAGCCTCAACTGGACAAAGCCATGCCAGGACAAAGGTTGGGCTCCCTACAGTGGACTACTGTAGGAAGCCAAAGCTTGGCTGGTTAGGGCCCTGCTCTCTATTCTGAAGGCCAGGCTGGCTTGGTAGACTAGAACTTCTCCCATGGCTGCGCTCTTGCAAAAAATAAATGTCTGAGTAACCTAACCCCAACCCTCTCTAAGCATGGGGACTCTGAGCTATCATAGTTGAAAGACACCCCATCATCACCTTTCCTTCTAATTATTTGCAGGGCTTAGAGGCTAGTCCAATCAAAACGTACCATTTTATATACTCTATTTACACAAATGAAGTTAAAAAGAGAGAGCCTAAAACACAAAAAACAATGCTCTTTTCAACTCTTTAGGACAGTGTTTCTCAAACTCAGCCATGTGTGGACTTCCACTTCCAGAATTCACCAGCCAGCACTCCACCCATCTTCAAGTTGAGGCCGAGGTTGAGAAGCCCTGCTCTAGGATGGGTTACATTTTCCTCACTGACCCATTTTGCGATAGGACAACCGCGGGAGCTCTTTCCTTCCTTCCCGGTATAGACCACCTTTTCAATTCTGATGGCTTTCCCCTTCTCACCATACCTGGTGGAAAAAACGCACCACATCAGCACAACAGACATTGATGGGGCTACCTGAGCAAGAATATTTTTAAAAACTTACTTAAAATAAAATAAAATAAAATAAAAATACAACAGAAACATTGCACGGAAAAGTTTGCAGAATATGACTTTTACCTTAATACATCAACTTGAATTAAAATAAAATAACATAAATATGGCTTCATGCATATTGAATACTAATGATCATGATCAAATGTAAGAGTTGTGAAAGTGTTAATATTTGACTATTATAAGAAGGAAGTTTAGATTCCCCCTCCCCTCCTTTTGGTTCAATCATGTCCCTTTCTTGGAGTCTGCCTGGACAAGTCCCTGCAGTTCTGGAAAGGTTTTTCAGAATTGGTTTGCCATTACCTCCTTCCCAGGGCTGAGAGAAAGTGACTGGCCCAGGGCCATCCAGCTGACTTTGGGCCTAAGATACTAGACCTCAAGTCTTCCTGTGTCCAGCCTGATGACTTAACCACTAGGCCGAACTGGCTCTCCAAGTTCTAGATTAGCAGAGAGGTTTTCTTTAATAAAAAAATCACAATAGTGCAAGTGTGGCCTCTTTTATGTGTGTACCGTGAGGCTATGTGTACATGAATAAAGGGCAGAACAAGAGGAAATGGCTGCTTTGCACTCTTCTGCCCCTAGTGCTGGCTGGGTTTTAGTATTCCCACAACTTGCTAAAGTCCCTTATTCTGACCCAGTTAGTTTTATTCATTATGGCAAACAGGAAAAAGGATTTGGAGGATCAGGTAACAGGATGACCCTCAACCTTGGGAGAAAAGCAAAGAAGGAATGGCTACCCTTCCCATCTCAGAAGGCTCCTCTTCTAGGGGAAGCAGTTTGCAGCAGCAGCCACTGCCGCCGCCAATACATGGAGGTCCTTTTGCAGCCTCCCTCCTGCCTCATCTCCAGCAGTGCCTCTGACCTGAGATGCAAGGCTAACTCGGGGAGAGCTCACTTAGGAATGACTCGGAGCACTCGGGTGGGTATGAGGCAATTGTAAAAGTAGAAACCTATCCAGAGAAATAGAGAAATGTGGAAATGGCAGAAAAAGACTGAAGGGTCCATCGATTCTGCCGTTGAGGGGTTTTTGCTTACTTGTTTTTCTTTTTAATTCGTTTATTTTGTTATTTTTCTATTTTTATTTTTTTAAATTTTTGTCAGATGTGATGGACATGTGTTTTATCCCAAGCATGTTTTAACTAGGTTACTGGTCATTGATCCATTACCTATGCTAGAAGTTGCTTCTAAACTTCTGCTACTCTTTCTGTGAAGTCCTACTTCCTACATCTACGTCCATGTCTAGGTATCCCCTGCATTCCCTTTGTAGTGCAAGCCTCAAGCACTCCTGGACAAGATTCCTTAATGGATCCATACTGTAGTTCATATGTCAGGCTAAGGGCAGCTTAAGGGTGGCAGAAAGGATGGGGGCTATTCACAGTCCCAATGCACCATTCTGCTTTAGAACCGTAGTCCCCAACCTTTCCAGCTATGCGGACTGAGGGGAGAGGAAATGCTCCTACCAAACCAATTTAGTTGACATGGGGAATTTCAGCAAAATGGTACACCTTGATTTCAGCAAAGCATAAAATCCTATAAAAGAAAATGCTAAAGGGAGCTGGACAACACTACCCTTAGATGGATAGAATACAGGTGGATGGGCATAATGCACAGGGAATGAATGTCAGGGGCTCCACATCAGCATAGGGGAAATGCTAAATGTATATTCTATGGCCATCTTTATTGAGGGATCTGAAAGAGGGACTAGAAAATATTTCAAACCATCAGATTTTCAGATGACATAGAAATGGTATGTGGTGGGGGGAGGGGATGCATTAAAGGAGAGTGCTAAAATTCAGGGGAGAAGCTGCAATGATGGGGGAGGATCCAGCAAGATAAATTTCAATAGGAATAAATGCAAAACCTACAGTAGAGCAGGAAAAATCAAAGTCATAATTATAGGATGCAGGAAGAGAAAGTGGACAGCAATATATACAAATGGATGTGACTATCTTGGTGGATCACAAATTGAACATGAGCCAACAGCCTGATGCAGCTGCTAAAAATGCAAATGCAATCATTGTCATCATAATCCATATTCTCTGTCAAGATCAAGATAAGTCCTCCTTATTCTGCTAAAAAATCAGTGGCTTCATTTCTGGGTATGAAAAATTGATATACCAGTGGAGAAATTTTCTTTTCAAATTCTTCAGGATCCCTATCGTGGCTTACCGTTCCTCCATAAGTTCCCTAATGGATGCCACAGTTGGTCCAGATCCCAGATGAGTGTAATATGGCCCCTCATCTTTTTCAACTATTTGTTCTGTTGAGAAAGCAAGAACAAGCAATTAGCTTTTTGTGGCCAAGGAATGGAAATCATTGGTCACTCAAGGGATTGTTTCCATACTGAACAAGCACCTAGAGCAAACTTTAAATGCCTTTTGTAAGTTGGGGAGTGGGTGCTTTTCCTGGCATAAGCAGTGAAAGGAGACTCTCCATGTTGCCCACTTTTCTGTGTTTGGCAGACAAGGGATATTTCAAAGAAGTAAACCTTGCAACCTTTTCTCAAGAGCAGCTGAAATTTCAACAGCAAAGGGAAACTGCTTTCTAATGGCCACTTTACTCACTGTCTCCTTTCAACTTTCAACCAATTAAATATTGGACAGTCAATTGCTGCACTGGATAGTATTCAGTTGTTTTAAAACCTCTCCTGGTCAACAAAAGAGGTTTAAAGGACTAAAGCAAAATGTTTTCGATTAAAACAAAACATCTGGGGCAGTGCCACTGTAAGGACCAAGCAGCGTTAATGCCTGTACGAGCGGCTGCAAAATGATGCCTCCTTGAACCGCCCCCTTCATCCCACAGCCCCCATTGGGAAGGATTTCTGATGCTGTCATTCCAGAGTGTTTCCACAAGAGGTTCACTGAGGCTTCCTTTCTGCCCCAGGACAAAACTCTCTTGACAGGAGAAAACAACCCAAGGAGTCCAAAGAAAGCTAAAGGAAACAAACACATCAGTCTTCCTAGATAAACTTCCTTCTCCTTTTCCTGCAGCACTTTTGGGATGAGGGGCTTCTTCCAGCTCATAAAATACACCTCACACGAATGACTTTCTAAGATCAAAGGGTGATCAAAGGATGTTGTTGCCTGCAATCACCTAGTCCATCTCAGAAAAACAGCTGGTCTATCCAGGTCAGATCCATTTAAACAGGGTCCAGAGAAACTTAAGCTTAAGCTACGTGTTCCCTCCTCCCCCCATCCCCAGATCACTCCTCCCCATTGTAAGCCCCTTAACACCTTCATTTCATGGGGAGGCCAAAAAGCAATGCAGGGGGGGCATAAACCCACCCACCACCAAAACAAAGGTATGACAGTCTTAAACAGACTGAGAACTAAAGTTGGAGGAAGAGAAGTGCTGTGTTAGAAGTTGAAAAGAAATACTTTTCTGCAGTCCCAAACCAGAGAGTTGTCCAAAGGTAACCAAGCCTTATCCCAACACAAGGAAGAATGGATGAGATGCCGTGTGGGTTCTTACAGCACACTAAACCCAGATAAATAAAACATAATCGCTGTGTTGATCTCTCATGCAGTGTTCACACAGACTATTCCAGCATAATGTGATGGCTAAAATAATAGTCAGTTTTTTTATCTAAATTATGAGCTGCCCAATTCCATTTTCGCTTAGTGTAAGTGGGGAGAAGCCAGCCAGAGAGCATTTTTAAATAGAAGAGTAGCATAAAATAACTTAAATCACTTTTAAAGAACTCAGCTCCCTGGAATCATCTAAGGCCTCTCCATCACCAGACTAGTCTCTCCAAGGACCACACAGAGCTACGAAATTCAGAGTGCTTCTGAATTTGATGGAAGAACTTTTGGGATGAGGGTGCAGGCAGATTTTTTTAAAAAGAGCTTGAACTTCCAAGCTTAACACAAACTGCCTTCCGGCAAATCTCGATTTCAGAATCCGATTTCTTGCTCTAAGGATGATGATTGCCTGCTGTAAGAAAAGGCTTTTCCTGCTGAAAGGCCTTCCTTGGTGAGTTCAAAGCAATAGCAGCTTTCCCAGCTTGACCCAGAGAACACCGGAATCCAGATTCTCTGGAGAGAGCAGAGTCTGTCGCTCCTGATTTAATGCCTATGTTAAATACTCAGAATATCAATGAGGGACCCAGCTGGCTTCAGAATTTCCCTCTCTCTCCCCATAACTCATATTTAATTTGCTTGTCATTCACTGTCGTTAGCTTCGATGCCAGTCAGCTTCAATGAGCCTTGCTCAGAGTTTCAAAGTTGGTTCTTCCAATTCAACCTGAGGCCAGAAATGGAAGGAGGGCTACCTTATTTCACTTCCTATTCCCAAAATAAAGGAACTGAACACTGAAATGAAAACAAAGCCTATCCAGTCCTTGATGTGGAAAACCAGGGCTGGTTTTCACAGCATTTGCCATGCCAAGAAAGGTCTGCCTGGGCAGGGAAGGCGTTTAAGTCAAAGCCTTACATTTTGCAGCCAACAACTTCAAAGGCCCCTTGAGAGATGCTGGGCTCTGCTGCTCTCATTCCACAACTGGTGTAAACTGAATTGCAAAGCATCTGCTCCTTTCTAGATTAAGTTTAGAACCAAGAAAGTAATCTGATCCACGCCTGTGGAGGTTCTCAGTCATCCAGGCCAGAGCTGTTTCAAAAGTGCATTTTCAAAAGACAACTGGACTATTTTTTCTCTTGAGGAAGAAGGGGGGGGAAACTTCCTCAAGGAAGAAAACCCAGTCCACTTGCCTCCTGAAAAAGCACTTTTAAGAATCCGAGTCAGATCTCCCATTTTTGCTCTGCAGGATACTTACCAACAGACTTTACTCTTTTTGCCTGTCTGCATAGTATAAATTCAGCTGGTTTGTTAATTAGACCCAGTTTTGGCTCAGGCCAAGCCCACCACAAATGTCCACCTGTCCAAAGGACACAGTACATAAATTCTCATTTTGTCAAAGCCCCAACTAGGAGAAATGCAAATAAATGGTTGATCTAAGATCTGATACCCAAGAGAAACCATTAGTTGCCAATTAAGAGTCCGTCTGTTAAAAACTGTTCTGCAAATTATCATTGTTCTGCATTAACACTACAGATCCTGTAGCCAAATGTGATTCTGTGGCCTAAAAGATATCTGCCACTTTGTTGAGGTAAACTGTATGGTTACCAGCAAGAAAGTCTAACTTCTCTAGAATTCAACCAGTGCAAAGATCGTGGTCAAATCAGGTACTGTTGCTTGACTGGCCTCATTTGTGCTTGGAAGCAAAACAACTGGACCTGGAAACCCAAAGCTACAGGTTAGGCTGGAATATCAAGCACCACCCTGGAAGAAGGCCATGAGATGCCACTTTTTTTCACAGGAACCACACTTGGCCCTGATGGGGCTTCATACTGCTTGGCTTATAATGTCTATCACCTGAGCGGCTGGGTTCACACACTGCATTAAGATATAGTTTGTCCAACAAGCTACATTTGATTGCCATTATAAATCATAACTGACTAGCCACCGTGGTTTGATTAATGCAACACACCAATGTAAACCAAACATCCTACAATTACTGGGTGTCTGCCATACGCCAACTAGTTAACATGTGGGCCTCCGTTAATGTTGAGTATAGAGTGCTGGGCTAGAAACACCTGGAGGCTGTCAGTCCCAGTCCTATTTTAGGCACAAATGCCAACCGAGTGACTTTGAGCTTATCCTCTCTCTGGAAGAAGGCGGCAATGGCCAACCACTTCCAACATCTTGCCATAAAAACTGCAGGGGCTCATTTCACCCTGCCAAGTTCTGGTTGGTGGTGGCCTCCTCCAAAAGAGCAAGCAGAGTGCACCGGTGTCTGTGTTCCTCGCAGTGAAGCAGTTCCCCTAAAGAGGCTCCCTGCAAACAGCATCTGAGAAGAGATCTTGCCAGAGGAATCGGCAGGGCAAGCAGAGGGCGGCCCCTGCGGTGGCTGTCAGTGTAAATAAGATCGTCTCAAGGAGCCAACAGGCCAAGGCCCAGGAGACTCTGGGCAGCTAGCAAACCGAATCGGGTGGGCAAAGGGCAAAGGGGTTATGTGGCAGCAGAGAGAGGGAACTCAAAGATGCCAGGCCTAGGGAAGATGGAAACAATGTAGCTGAGATGAAGGAGAAAATCCTGATGGAGAGCTGAGCTCCTCAAAGAAAAACAGGAAAGCAATGGTGGATTTCTGAGTGGGGTTTACCTGTATTCCACTACTCCCCAAATCAGGCTGTTTTATCACTTCTCCTTCCAATCGGAATAAATCTACACAAAAAGCCTTTTTCAATTTCAAAAGAAAAAAGAAAAAAAAACAGAGCACAACATCCAATGATCAAACAGGATCCTCTCCATAGAACAGGAAGTGCTATTCAGTAGGCAGTGTCAATGTAGCCAAGGGCTTCCAGCCGCTGCTGCCAGATTTCAAGGGACTGGCATCGGGCACATTTCAGGTTGCTCCTTGCCCATGGTTGTCCATCCCAAGGCTCTGCTTTGCAAGAGTCCCTCTGCAAGCTGCCCCCAGGCTCCTTCATCAGAATTAGGCAAAATTTTAGGTCCTTGTTGATGCAGTTATATATGGATTCCAGAGGGTTAGAAGCAACTAGTCCTGCCCCAAATGCTGTTTCTCTCTTGCATCCCTTAGAGCTGGAAGAGACTTCCCGGGGGGGGGGGGGCAGCCCCTGCTGTTTGCAATCAATTCAAGGGCTGCGCTGGGAGGGAGGCTGCCGACTGCCCAGGAAATGTTTCTTATGGAACCTGCTCTTCAGTAGCAGCTCCGTCAGTATGCAACAAGACAAGGGGAAGTACGGGGGGGGGGGATTTTGTAGGATCGGCAGTGCTTTCCCTGCTGCTCTTTAGCAGCAAACTTGGCCTTTTAAATGTGTTAGTAGTCTAAAAGGAGGGTACATTCCCCCCACCCAACCCCAAATACCTCAAGCAAGGAATGTGTTGTCTTTGATGCTGACTGCATTTATAAACTGCCTTTCTTCTGGGATTGCAGAAAACCAGGTCTCCCCGTATTTCATCCTCACATTGTCCTGTCAGATAGGATTGCTTAAAGAGAGTAACTGGGCCAATCTGCCTATCAAACTCAGTGACCGAATGGAGACTTGAACCTGATTCACTAGTTTTAATTCAACCTCTGAATGATCACAGCATTTTGGCTATCACAAACTTTTCCTTGTATTTCGAGAGAGGAACTTTGTTTAGAAGCCTCAATGTCACACATTTGACCTGGCAACTTTTAGGAGTTTTAGGGGTACAGAGCACGAAGACATTAAACTCCTTGTTGAATATGCATGAAGCATATTCCATGTATATGCTTCCCTGCCCATCTCACTATCAAGTGACTCTGGGCGACTAGAGATTCTGGCATGACCAGAACCAACTGTCACATTTCACTCAGGCTTTGCAATGACTGCTGGCCCCCCAGAGGGTCAGGCGCCTTTCCGCAAGCTGCAATTGTGATTGGTTGTTGGTTAGCTGTTTTTAAGCACCATTGAGCAGCTTCTGCTTCTTAAGCAACCCTAATTTTTATTCCAAGCGTGCAGAAACACTTGCAAATGAGAGGGTGGCCCTTGTTCCCGGTGGCTTCACATGCTCACAGGCAGCAAGCGTGCGAGGTACATTATCAGAACCAGTGACCAAAGCAGCCGCATCTCTCCCATTCCCACAAGCACACCTCTTGTATTTCCAAGCCTGGCCTAGTAGAAGAAACTGAGGGGAGGAAGGGCTGTCCCTCCCCATGCTCATTTGCTCTCTCTCATATACACACACAGACTGCATCCATCCATCCTGCTAAGTCAGACCAGCCATTTAACTTATGTGCTCCCAACTGTGCTAAACAAATGCTAAAGAAGCCCCTTTCTGGACTCCCCGGTGGAAAGCTGCAACCTGCACTCGGGACTCTTCAGCCTCTTCAGGCTGAGCTATTTGCCAATATCTGCAATACGTTTCTAATCACGCCTACAAAAAAAGAGACTCTGCGGTTGATAGGCTCACCAGCTTCTCAATTAGATGGTACAAATGATAGGCCTCTCGCCTTGGATGACACTTCAGAGCCCTTTCCGGCTTACTACCTGACAGGTGCAGGACCCCCCCCGCTTCTGGTAACAGGCATGCAGGGCCCGAACCCAGCATCACCTTAACCTGTGCCTCAGGTTGTCTGCCTCATATGACTACTCCCCTGGTGGCTCTTCCTACGTGGTTAGAAGGAGGAGGAGAGAGATTCTCAGGGGAAGCCAGTGGCACCGCAGCCCTTTCTGTGGACAAAGCAAGGCGACTGCAGCAGCTGCCTGAAAGCTGAAGGAACCACCTGCACCCAGACAGCAGGATTCTGCAGCCCATATTTAGAAGCAAAGAGAAACCTTTTTTGCCTACAAGGGGATGCGACACTCACCTACTTGCTCAGACTATAAAATTTTCTCCCTGCTGGATTCAGTGTGGTCTGCAGGACAAAAAGTGTCCTATGTACTTTCCCTTTTCCTTCACATCCTCCCGCCTCTCTGCTAAGGGAGGCCAACCTTCCCTTCATTTTTACAAAGCCCAGGTGGGGGAGAGTCTCTGACTTACCCACACAGTCACAAGTTGGAAACTCGGCTTGAGCTCGCTTGGCAGGGGTGTCCAGTAAACTTTTGGTTGGGGTGTCCAAGTATTTCAAGGGAGATTCCAAAAATCCACTGAGAGTTGGCATAAACGGCTCTTGATTCTTGGTTGGAGTTTCTTCCAGGGTTGCTGGGTCTGGGTTTTGGTTTTCATCAGAGTAAAAGCAGGTGGTGGAGACCACTGTAATAGCACCAGATGATTCTATCTTTATGTGTTTTGGGGACCGAGTGACAAAGGGGTTTTCCAAGGATTGACTGGCCCCTGGTAAGAGGGAGCCTTTGAGACCCGTATTGGGAGTGTCTGCCAAAGGTTGTGTGCCCTCCTGGGCTGAAGGCTGGAGAGCAACACCCAACCCACCCGGTGGCTCTGGAGACTGGCTCAGAGAAGGGAGTGGGAGCAGGGGGGAGGGGGGCTGGGCTGGCAGAGGCCCTTCATTGAGAAGCAGTGGGGCCGGAAGATCTGGATTCTGAAAGATGAAATTGTCACCAAACTCAGTCTCAAACTCTTTGATAAATTCCTCCAGCTTGTCATCCACTGCGGTAGGATTCTGGGTGAAGAACGGGTGGGCTGTTGAGTTGGTTGAATGGCTGTGGAAGGCTTCCTCACACCCACCACTGCAAGCCACAGCAGAAGAGCATGGAGCAGTGCCCAGCACAGGGTTGCTGGTTAGGGGTGCAACTTCACAGACAGAATTCTCTGGGAAGTAACGCTGGGTCTCCTCCTGGCCAGGATGGCAGGTTTCCTGAGTGTTGGAAGCTGGGCTTCTATTTTCAAGTAGCTTCTGCAATGGAGACTTCTCTGCAAGGCTGGTGGCCATTGAACCGGGAGACAAATACTTGGTAGGAGTGGAAGAGAGGAGCTGTTCAGGTTGAAGCTCTTTGCTTGGGCACTTGAGAGTGGCAGCTGCACGACACTCCTCCAAGCTGATCTGCCTCATGGGCAAGAAGAGAGGCTGAGAATCCTTCTGCCTGGACTTCTTGATTTGGATCTGCTTGCGGAATGGCTTCACGGGGCCACTCTTTTCAGCCTTCTTCTTCCTCTCCTTGACTGGCTTCTCCAGCTTCTTTGGAGGCAGTTGAGTTTGAGCACTGGGAGCCCACCACTGGGGCAGCAGCTCCTCGGTCCCTCCCTGAGGTCCTTTCTGGTCAAGGAAGAGGCTGCGCTTGTGATGAAGGTGGTGCTGCAGGGCCTTCTGGGTTTTCTTGTGGAGACTGCTCTCCTGCAGGAGCTGGGACAACTGTGGGCTGGAAGAGGGGGAGTTGTGACAGCCAGCGTGGGCATTTTCATCCTTGTGGATGAGGTGCTCCTGCTTTGGTTTGACCACTCTTGCTTTGCCTGGGATTCCTCCCGGCTGCTTAAAGACCGATCGCATGCAGCCATTAGAACTGCCCAGCAGCTGCTCCAGCTCCGCCATGGTGTCACTGACCAAGGAGGATGGGGAAGTGCTGATGTGCAGGTCCCAGTCTCTGGCCTTGAGCTTAGCATCTTCCCTCTGTCGCTCAGTGAACTCTGCCTTCAGCGGGGTAGAGTTGCAGGTAGGAAACAGGCCATCAGATTCTAGATGGCCATTACTGCGGTCAAGGCAATAGGGGGCTTCATCCTGAGCACATTTCACCCCCTGTGGCCAGGAGGGCAATGAAGATGCCACTGGAGTCGGGAGCAAGTGGTGACCCACCTCAGATCTGGAGGGGTGGCTCTGGCACATTCCAGCACTAGACACAGGTAGCACCATGCTGGGGTTGTGTGCTGAGAGGAGGGGAGGCTGCTCTTTGGAGCCAAAGGCCCGGCTTTGCATGGGACTCCCAGGAAGGGGAGGGGCCTGCATGGTCGGCTCTGGAAGAACAGTGGAGAGCTGGGTGAGGGCTTCGATTGCAATGGCTGTCTGGAGACTAATGTTCTTCTCCTTCGCAATGTTCAGTGCACTTTGAGAAAGGGGGAGGGCTTCCAGGGGGCACAGGGGCGCCTGCTCGCCTGCAGCCGGCCCCTGCTTGGCATTAGCACCCCTGTCTAAGGGGGGCTGGTGAACTTGGCTGAAGGGCTGGGCAACGCAGCTCTCCTCTTCTCCACTGGCTGATTGGATCTTCTTCTCCAGCCATTCCAAGTAGTCTGGGCACTCAGGACCATCACAGTTGCAGTTGGGTGGTTTCATGCCTTGCTTGGCCAAAGTGAGCGCAGCTTTGAGGGCATCCAGATCCTTGATCCCAGGGCAGCTGTTGGGAGGAGGCACCGCCAAACCGTCCTCTGTCTCATGGTTCATCTCGGCATTGAATTTCTCATACAGCTGCATGCTTAACGTGGAAGGAGATGGGAGAGGTGGCAATCCATGGGAGGACATGGCAGCCTCGGCTGCGGCTGAGAAAGCTACTAGGTTTTGAGCATCCTCCAAATTGGCATTGCTGGAAGAGCCTCCCTGGCTCAGGGCACCAGCTGCGCTCTCCCAGGTGACTTCCTGCTCGGAGCGTGGGCTGCCAAGCCACATGCCCGGATCCATTAGCATGGCTCCTCCTCCAGCAACTGCTTTCCCTCCGCCATTGGCCAGGCCAGCTGGGAGGGTCCCTCTTAAACTTCCTTCTTTGCCATGGCTGAATGGCTCTTTTTCCATGGGGCCTGTTCTGGGTCCATCAACCAAACTGCTGTCCAAACCTGTCTGGAAAGGAAATGACAAAGAAAATTAGTTTGAAAATGGCTGTTTCCTGTTAGGAATATAATCTAACGGTTGGTTGGCAATACATAAATCATGTAACAATGCTATACCTGTTTCTTTAAATCATGCTGTAAAATGTGATTGGTTGCTGTTTCCTCAATCGGCCATGAGATGGAGCCAGAATCACTGTTAGATGCTGATCTGAGTGTTTGGAAGCTGGCTGTTAGAAGTGCCATATAGTGATCAGCATGAGCTATTGTAAGTTTTGCAACTGCTAGCAAACTTTATGTACCAGACTGATAATATGATTATGGACTATGTTATTTGGATTATCCCTTAACTGAAAGAAGTTGATGGCTGANTTCACAGAACAGTTCCCGGTGTCGGAGGTTAGCACCACCCTTCTCCTAGAAAAATGAAATATTTTAGGAAATATTAAAAGGGCAGAATATTTCTCCTAAAAGGGAGGTAGAAACTCATCCCCCCCCACCTTTGTCAATGGGCCATTAAGGCCTGAGCCGGTCTATTCTACATAACAAAGATCTACCTCCTTCAGGCAGAGCCGTAATAGGAATCCCAAAGCCCTTTCATTACATCATCACCCAGCAAGGCTCAACCAAGCTTGGGACTCAGGAGAGCCTTCACAGTTGCCCCTGCATGGCCCCATGGGAGACTGACAACCAATCAGACTACAAGCTCAAGTTCAAAAGCCCAGAGAGGGTCTAAAATCCAGGCACTCTCTGCATCTCTTCTCTTTTTTTTTTCTTCTTCACCCAACATCTTCAAGGCAGGTGGTCCTGCCCACCATTAAAACCACCTTTCCAAGCATCCACCACGTTTCCAGTCTCTTTCTCCCCACTTGGAGCTGAACCCAGAAGGACATTTCTTCCAACACCAGCCAATAAAGTGATTGGAGCATTTGCATCTCCTCTCTCTCACTTGCACTCACTCTGTGCTGACAGAAACCAAGATATCCCAATTATCGAAAAGGCCAAGCTAACGATTAACTCAACCAGAAGATCCTGCCCACACATTTCTCCTCTCAATACCGGTTTTCCCAACTAGCTGCTATTCCTTGTTCAACAACAGGGAATGTTTGCTTTCCCAGTTGGGTTTGCAAATGAAAGGAAAGCTAGAATTCCTCTTCAATCAAACACATTTTGATATATATTTTTTTAAAGGCATAAGCCATCATGAGTTGCAGCTCACCTCATCCAATGCAAAAGGGATGCAGGATTTAAACCGGGATGAAGCAGAAGAAGGGAAAGCTTAGGCCTTGAATAACATGAATTCTTCTGCGGGGATGGGGGGGGGGAGTATTCCCAAATGCTTCCTAGATTTTTGTTTTAACTCTCCTGGGGAATGAAACTCTTCGTTTGCAGTGACTTTGGAGCTTAAACGCAATTCATTTCCTCAACTGAAGTTATCTTGAATGGCCAGATCTGGGCAGTCTGAAGAGCGGGAAGACAAGCAGCTCACACAAACAACACTTTCAAAGAGATAAGACTTCAATCCCAAACCAAGACAGAAATACTGTACATTCAACATGATGGCAAACCTTCCTCGATTGAATGTCTATTTCTTATGCTGCTCTTTTCAGTGGGGTTTTTTAAAACTTGCCATTCTGACATGCGGTAATCTCTGAGCTTCGTTGTTTACCTGAAAATTTTCATTAACAAACTAGGTAACACCCTGAGTGCTCATTAAAAGTGTTAGGAAATGTCGGATAAATGAAATGTCTGCAAGAAAACAGCCAATCCAGAAAGGACCCAGGACATAGTTGAACCCTGAGCTACAGATAAAGCCATGCCCACCAAGCCACACCCACAGGACAGGTAATAAAAAAAATTTGAATCCCAAATGCTGGCCTGCTGCTCACACAAATCAAGCTACACATGTGCACACCAGCTCACTAGGGCTGTGTGTGCACGCATGTGCATGCAGTGGCCTGCCACCTCCATGGCCTGATTCCCCTTTCCCCCAGCCAGGCCGCCCTTTTTGAAGTCTGCCGACTCTTATCTGGTGCCAATTCACCTTAACTGTTAGTAGTTCGTATCCTTGTCTATAGTTGCATGAAATAAACTTGCAGTGCTTTGGAACTCTATCCTGGATGCTGATTTCTTGCACTTGACAGGAAATGTGCAACTTCCTGAACGTATAGATATATGAGAGTTAATGTAGTGATTAAGGCATCTGGCTAGAAAGCAAGAGACTGTGAATTCTACTCCCACCCTAAGCACAAAAATCGGCAGTTCGGCGGTTCGAATCCCTAGCACCACGTAACGGAATGAGCTCCCGTTACTTGTCCCAGCTTCTGCCAACCTAACAGTTCGAAAGCACGTAAAATGCAAGTAGAAAAATAGGAACCACCTTTGGTGGGAAGGTAGCAGTGCTCTGCGTCCCTTTGGCATTTAGTCGTGCCAGCCACATGACCCTTTCGGACAGCACTAGCTCTTTGGCTTTGAAACGGAGATGAGCGCCGCCCCCTAGAGTCGGGAACGACTAGCACATATGTGTGAGGGGAACTTTTACCTTTACCTTACTCATCTTAGTTCTATGATAAATTTGTGAAATTCCAGCTTTTTTCCTCCCGTGCACCACACTCTTGGGAAGGGATTATATACCTTTCAGGTGATCTGGTAGAAGTCTTCGCTTTCATTTTTGAAATTCCAGAGGATTGCGACAGGAGCTGGTGATGGGAACTTTTGTCACCATCCACTTCTCTTCTTTTCCAGTTGGATGTGAGAAGGAAAACCGCAAACTAACGTTGGAGGGAGAGGTGAAGTTCTGAGTAGGGATCGTGGCACGCCGATTGCAAGGTGATCCTTCAGAATCCTCCCTGCCTTCCCTTAAATGGCTTTTCCTTCTCAAAGGGAATCTGTAGAATTTCTCATCGGGGCTTGGAAAACAGGCAGCTTCTATTGTCAAGCAGTGGAATAAATTCTACTATGAAGAGTCTCTCCAGGCAACAGTTTCTATGGAAACCCGGGACTTGTCCTGCATCACCAAAAAGCAGGGGGGGAAACCGAAGAGAAGGTCTCCAAAGGCCTCCGACCATATCTGTTGCTGAAGGGATTCACAATACATTTGACAATGGATCTCAGGACCCCAGAGGCTTAAAGAGTCTGTGATGAAAGAGGCAGACACGGAAACAGAATCCGGGCCAGTAGGACGATGTCAAAGCCCTCCTACCATCCTTTTCAAGATGGTCCACGCCTTGTCATTTTGTTTTTTTGGTATCCGTGTGTTGCGCCTGTTACAATAACACTTCACTGATCTCCAAGTTAATTTTGTTGAGCAGCTGTGGATTCAATTTTATTCCAGTGTAGGAAGTTAGCACCCAGCTCTCTCCTAGAAGAATGAAATATTCTAGAGAATGTTAAAAAGGCAGAATATTATATTTACCTGGATGAAAAATGGAGAAACATGGTTTTGTTTTTTTAGGCAAGCAGCAGACTCACTCTTCATAGCCCCCTACCCTCTTCAATAGCCCACAGCAGATGTCAGCACTTAAGAGATAAAGAGATAGCTAGGTCTATTCATAAGCAAATGCCCTCACCCAAGATCCAACAAAGGTAGGATTAGCCCTCTACCTATCTAGCAACAGAACTCATCACATGGCACCTGGGGAGATTACATCACCCAGCAAGATTNCCTACCGGTTCGGACAGGTTCGGTTGAACCGGTAGTAGGTTGGTGGCCTGGGTCTCTGGAACTGGCAGTGACCCAGGCCTGCCATGCCCCTGAACTGGTTCTCCAGGTCTATGGCTCTGCCATCTTGTTTTTCAGTTCTGCGCATGTGCAGAACAATTTTAATTGCACTGTGCATGTGCGTGCAGCATGCATCAAGCACGCGCAGCATGCACACAAGTGAACCAGCAGTAGTGCCTGCTGGAACCCAACCCTGGAGTGGTTGTCTTCATCCTCTTTCTCTCACACAAGCTATCTGAACTTAGTTGGCTCTTAGTTCCTCTGAAATGCACCCCTCCCTCCTGGGGAATCCTGTCCACAACATTCCATCAGATGTCATTAGTTAAGAAGACAATGCCATGATTTCCTCGAAATTCTTCCCCTGGCTTTGATGTAAATCTCAAATGTCCTTCCATTACTAAATGAGGTTTTTGTTGAATCTGTCTCAATACATCCTTTTCCAACAGCCACAGAAAGGTATAAATCATCCTTAAGCTCCATTGAAACTTCTGTCTCTAAAATGCATCTCCTAATTGGGGGGCAGGGGAAGGGGAATTAATTAATGTTTCTCCACAACATATCTGTTTATTAAGAAATTATGTACTAGGAAATTAGGTGACTTGCAGTGAAATGCATTTCTTAATGGTTGGGCTGACATTTTAAGTGATCAATAAATCACATAAATATTAAGACCTTTCTGAAGGAAGATAATAAAGTAAGGCATCTGGAAACAAGAGTTGCTGCTGCTACTTGCAATTACCAACCAAACAAAAGTGTTTTATTGTAAGTGTAATTTTAATCACTGCATAGAAAAGACAGATAATCAAACATTGGAGATGGGTGGTGAAAGATGCTTAAAGAATTTATTAGTTGAAAAGGAGGGAGGGAAAGGTATTTCTAATAGATGATAATTGCTTGTTTTTTAACAAACAAGAAAAAAAAAGAAAGTACAATTTACTATCTATTAATATTCTTGGGAGTAGGGAACATGCCTTAATTCCATAGAATCTCTCATGGACCGAAGGAGCAGAGCCTCAATTGGTTCCCTTGATGGCAGTAAACCAGTTTTCCATGCTAAGTTTGGAAGTGATTTATGATCATCATTTTGAAATATTTCAAAAATCAGTTTGCAAACATTCTACACATATATATTAAATACACATCAGACATGGGAGAGCTACATTTTTCACTTTGCCAAGTGAAGAAGGCCCTATAATAAAGGTTTAAATAAAGTCAAGTGTAGAGATCTAGATCTCATTAAATCTACAGTAATGTGGAGGCATCATGAAACATTAGACTGCTTTGGTTTATTATACAAAAAATAAACATAGAAACTTTATCATTGGTGGGATATATTAATAATCCTATGCTAGAT